CTCCCTGCTCTCCCTCCCTCCCTCTCCCTCTCTCTCTCCGATGCGTTGGGGTGGAGAGAGAGAGAGAGAGAGAGAGAAAGAGGGCGCTGGGCGTGGCGGGGCGCGGGGGCGGCGCGCAGAGGGGCGGCGGCGGCGTCGCGGCGCTCAGTTGGACTCCAGCCTCCCGGGCGCGAGGACGCTGAGCTGCCGCGCGCAGGACCCCCGCGCCGCCCGGCCCGCCCCCACCGAGTGTCAGAACGTAAAGCGAGTGCCGCCCGTGCTGCCACGCCCCGCCGCCGGCCGACCCCGGCCGCCCCGCGACTGTGCTCGTGCACCTCGGCGACTGGTTGTGCTCCGCCTGCTCGTCCTCCTCGTTGTGCTGTGAGATTGTGCCGGCATCACAAGCGGCCGCGCACTGAAGTGGCCGTGCGGTGCGACCCCGCCAGGATTAACCCCGCGGCTCTGCATGCCCCGCCAGCAACAGGACGGCCCGCCGCGGTGCGCTCGGAGCGCCGGCCGCACGGCACCCGCGAGGCCCGCGCCGACCAGCGACCCGTCCTGGTGATCCAGTGCGTGCGTGTTTGCGTGTGCGTGCGTGCTTGTTGTGTCAGTGGCCGCAAGCAGCGCGCGAAGAATACAAAGATAAATAACCGAGTGAGAGAAGAAGACAAGTGTTTGTTTGTGTTGTCGGATGTCAGTCAGCTGACCGCCTGCGGACCATGCCCCGGCACGCTGCTGCCGCCGGCCCGCGGCCCCGGGCGCCGCCCCGGCCGCTGCCGCTGCTGCTGCTGCTGCAGCTGGCGCTGCTGCTGCTCGCCGGACAGGGACTCCACCGCCACGGCCTCATCGTCGCCGCCGAGGCCGACGTCAACCTCCCGCTAGGTGAGTCCACGAGCCCCCCAAACAACTTGCAATGTGCGCCCGCGTTTGGCGAGACAGGGAGATGCGGTGAATGAGAAAATACGTCCAAATTATTGCGGTGCCGCTAAAGGGCAGGAGAGAGGGAGCACTGTGAAAAATATAAGGTTTTACGGGAAAATTTTTAAATCAAGCGTGTCGTAAAATTACATTTTAAAATTGTAAATTTAGAAGCCCTCTATGAATCGACTTGGAACCCATCGACGAGCAAGTGGAGGGATACCGTTGCGGACTTGTGGGAGAAGCAACGGAGACCGTTGATCAGTGGGGGAGAGCGAGCGAGGCCGGCTGTCCCAAAACCACGCTGCTGCTCGGCACAACCCGTGGTCTGGTCTGGGCAGTGTTGTTGTCTCTTTCCCTCTCACTGTTTCGTCTCCCACGTCGGTCTCGATTAAAGGTCGGCGGGCGACGCGGCAAGCCTGCGCCTGCCACCCCGCCCCCCCCCCTCTCCCTCGCTCTCTCGCATGCTCGTTCGCTCTCTAGCTTGCTCGCATGCTCGTTCGCTCTCTAGCTTGCCCGCTCGCTCTCTCGCCCTCTCGCTTGCTCGCTTTCTCTCTTACTCGCTCGTTCATCCCCCGGGGGCGTGGGGCACAACTCGGTGCCTCATACTCGCGCAGCCCCGGCGGCGGTGCGACACGCGCCCGGCTTTCGTGTTCGTGTCCGAGTTTGAGTGACCGTATGTCGCGGCGTCGGCCGTGCGTGCTGCATCAAGCTAGCGTCGCATTTACAAATTAATAACAGCAGTTAGGCGCGCTGTAAAAGCTCGTTTGCGCCGCCGAGCTCTTCGTGTACTTGTCTGCCGGCCGGCCGGCCGTGCGTCCCCCGAGGCGCCGTGTGGGTAGGCAACCCGGTCGCGCGCGAGCGCTGCGGGACAGAATACCCGGAGGGCTGCAGGGGTTCCAGAGGTTCGCCTCTCTCGCCTCTCTCGCTTTCCTCTCTCTGGTCCATGAGCTGCTCGCAGCCTCGCCTGCGCCGGGCCGCAGTTGGTCCAGGTGGTCCAGGTGGTCCGCTGGAGACGACGGCGGCAGCGGCAGCGGCGCGCCGGCGCCCGTCGTTTCGCGAAAGGTTGACTTAGCCACGGGGCCCCGGCGCTCTGAATCGAATTTGCATAATTGGCGGAGCACGACGGGGAGGGGAAGGCGGGGAGGTCGTTGCGCGCGCGGGAGACGCGTATCGATATCTCGCCCGCCCGGATATAGGCGAACCAGCCCGCCAGCCCGCCAGCCCGCCAGGCAGGCAGCCTGCCCCCGCCGCCCGCCACCACCGGCACCGGCCCCCGGGACGGGAGGAGCCCGGGACCCCGTCCTTCCTCACCTCCCGCACCACCCCGAGATCAGATGTCATCGGTGACGTGTCATCTGTCCCCAAGGCTGTCCCCGGATGGGACGGTGGTAGGCGGGTGCCGGGTCGTGGAGGGGGCGCGGGGGGCTGCCGGGCGCGGCTGGGCGCGGTGTTGAACCCACTCCTCTCCCTCCCCTCACCCTCCCGGGCGGGCCCCTGCCGCCGCCCACATCCATCCCTCTCAGGGCCAGGTGAAATGTTTCGGACGTGATACCGGATACTCTTGGGCGGGCTGCTCGGCCTCGCAGTCCAGCGCGGCGGCGACTTGACTCGACACACAGTGCCGGCGCGGCCTCCAATAAAACGCGCGCTGTTTGTTTGCTTTTTGGTTTCCCTTCTTCCTCTTTTGGTCTATTTTCTTTAGTAGGTGCGTGCGTTGGTGGCAGGAGTGGTATGCGCGAGGGTGGCGTACAGGGCGGCTGTCCCGCTCGGGCCGGCGCGCGCTGGCCGCCATGGGGTCGCCTGCTCGGAGCCCGGTCCATGGCGCGGCGGCCTTGAGTCCCCCCCCCC